CTAGTTTATTCTTTCTCGATACAACTTTGTACTTCACAGGATTTCCATAGTCACTTTAAACTTAACAACCTTTAGAACAAACGCTATAAATCACAGTGATTCACACACTTTACTTACGGTGCCTACTGTTCGCTTGACTCAATTATCTCTATCTTCAATCTATCTGCATATCTATCTATCTATGCAATTGCGCTGGTGTTTCTCGCCAGTCTTATATACTAAAAAAGAGGGCGCTTCGAAGAAACTGAAGTTGCCAGGAAAATTCATGATCCTTCCAGAAACTCCAGCGCGCATGCTCCCAGAATCGCGTGACTTCCGCTGTCGTAACAATATGTATAATGTGTAAAATGTATTTGATGCTTTGGTGAACTAATAAGATTAAAGGTTATAATGTATATAAAGTGTAGTTTTTATCAAGCAATATTTAAACTAATATTTGTTTGAACCATTGTAAAGTTTACTACTAATAAAGTAAAATCATAATCTACTATTCTGAATTTTTGTAGAGTTTAAACGATTGAAATTAAAACTATTTCAGTATAATGTAATAAACATACTCTGTGTTTTAAATGTATTGTTTCATTTTTATTTCCACATTGTACTCTAACCATTTAGTCAGCTATGATGCCTCAACGACATTAGGGGTCACGTGTTTTTATATTTTATTAGATTTGATGAGTCAGACGAATGTAGCAATAGAATTGAAAGAGTTTACACTGTTTGGGGTTTGCATGAATGATCTATCTATCGTTTAGAGTCTAGTAATCTATTCGTTTTTCCAAATCAAAATTCTAGAGAAAAAGGATAAGAATATTACTTACGTAGACTGGTATGTAATCCTTTTTGACAATTTACCCTCTCTCTAAAACCAGGGATTATCGAGGTTTTTGAGCCTGTTTTTGAAGAACACATATATGCAAATAGTTTCAGTCAGCATAATGTTAAAATTACAAACCAGCAAGAAACAAAATTCTAGACAAAGATTTTTGAAAATGTCTACAGAAAAGTAAAAATATAATTTTCTACAATTGTAATGTGAAACATAGCTATTTACACAGATCCTATGAAAACAAATATCAGTAAAGCAAATCAACTTATAAAGCTAACATGAAATTAAAATTAGTGTATATTACTTAGAAAGTTCAATAATCATGCGTTTCAGGGTGTTATACAATTTAAAAACTAAATAATGATAAGAAATAGAGATTGAACTGTATGCGTGATAATTATGAAATACTTTTAAATATTTAAATATATAAATGATAAAGTAAATAACAGCTAAGACAAGTTAAAATCTGTATGCAATCCTACGGGACTATAGTAATACTATCTGCTGATAATTTCAAAATCTGCTTTTGTCAAACGTACACAATACAGTTAAATACATAAGATGAAAACTACAAAGTTGACCATGTTGATGAGAATTGGAGATTAAAATAGCAGAGTTAATGTTAGTTTTACATGTAAGATAAAACTGTAATTGTGACAGAGATTAAAAACTTTTCAGTACTGATAATTGTAAAAGAACTTTATGCAAGTTAAATAATTAATTAATTTTAAGCCTTTGATTGCTACTGAAGCGAAAACTATAAAGTTAATGACGTAATCACATGTTGATATCTGTTGATCTACATCACCCTTTGGTAGATTGCTCGCTAACTATCTGCACACTAGTCATAGATAACCTCATCGTCCTACCCCTCCTCCAGCAACACGTTCTCTGTTGCCACTTCGTGGAACTATGACGACTCCTAAAAATGCGCCGTCTTGTGCCACCTCGTGGACGTCATCGTCTCTACCCCATTAGGTGTCGGCATTATTTGCATGTTACACAATAGTCGTGTAACCTTGATCTCCACTCACCTGGCAATCCCCATCCCCTTACTGAGGTGGTATCCTTTGGATGATGAAGTATCCCACTAATGTTTGAGCACGAACAGAGCGACAACTATCACAGGAATTCATTTTAGTGTTATAGTAAGAGTGAAAGGCAATTGCTCCCAACTGCAAGGCAATGCAATGTTTGTTCACAGTGAAATGCTAGCATCGAAGATGTCCACTGAACTCCATACATTTCTTATCAGTTTTTTAAAGAGCAACACCCTCTAATCCCGTTTGTTCTCTTTACTGTGTAATGACAAGAAGTACGTTGACCTTCTCGGAAAAAAAGTATTATCTCGCGTCTTTGAATTTTGAAATCAAGTCGCACTTTTCTCAGCGAAAAGAAACCAGACTGGGCCAAACTCTTTCAAGAAGTAGACTGGATCGTTAAACTGGCATGTTTGGCTGACACATTTTCATCTTAAACGAGCTTTATCGTTATAAGAAATTTTTCAAAGTGGATTCAAAATGAAACTAAGGCTATGGGAGGAACTAATATATGAAAACATATACGTATGTTTCATTATGTTGTTTTTTCTATTTTCGATGAAGACGGGGAAGGGTTTGATATTCAGAGCTTAAATGGTGTTATTGTCAGGCATTTAAAATATTTGTCAGAACATTTTAATACTTATTCTCTTAAACATAACGATCCGAGATGTGGAAATGAATGAGTAAAAACACTTTCAAAAGTGAAATAACAGTAGCTGCGTTTTGGATCAAAACTCGCCCAGGATACTCCGAGTTAAATTACATTGCTTTCAGGGAGATGCTGCCATTTCTATTAACGTATTTTTATGAAGGCGGATTTTCGGCAATGTCTGTGATAAGGACGAAACACAGGAACAAACTGGATGCTGGAGTATCATTTCGCATCGCACCATCTAATATTGAACCGCGTCTTGATAAGTTTGTGTCAAGAAAACGGGCTTATAATATTCGTTAAGTCATTTATTTCTCTGCATATTTCTTATTCGTGTCAAAGTTAAATATTTCGTCTCATTTGTTTGGTTATTTTTATTTACTTTTCAAAGAAAATATATGCCTTTGTAAATTTATAAATATATGAAAGATTTTGTGGAATTATTTTGGTTATTTAATCGACTGATAAAATTATACACACATGGGGTGCCGATCCCCGAAACTCTAGTTGGAATTTTATCGCTCCGCGAGTTTGGAAGTTTGAGAACATTGCTCTATGTTATATATTTATTTCAAATTATCTTATTCATCGTATAGATGTCAGCACCATTTCCTTGGTTCAATAACTTCATAGTATACAACTATTAGAATTTAGAAGATGAGAGACCGGCTAAAGACAAGTCTGGCCTAATAAAACTAAATTCGTATTGTTATTAAGAATTTTAGTGTTGTGTAACCATTGTTTGCGATCGAAAGAGTTTAAATTAATTGTTATGGCAGCGTTGGTATCTTTTATTTTATCTCTGTTTCGAAATAGTACTAGAAATCACTTTACGCATGCTTTTGGATTGCGTTTTCCTCCGGTGTTGCACAAAATTGTTACTGAAAATTTCATTAAAAACTTTAAGGAAGTGTTCGTTATTGGTGATGTTCATGGCTGTTTTGATGAACTTATTGAACTTCTAGAAAAAGCTGATGTGACTAAGGATAGTTGCCTTAAAATATTTGTTGGTGACCTGGTAAACAAAGGGCCAAAGAGTCTAGAAGTAGTTAGGCTTTTGAGAAATACACCTTATAGTACTCTTTGCGTACGGGGAAATCATGATGAAGTTGTTCTTGAACTTTATCACAAAAAGGTTAGCGGAGAACATCACCTAACAAAACATAGTGCTTGGATCAACGAATTTTCTGAGGATGATATTGATTATCTTCAGAACTTACCTTATACAATAACCTTGCCTAGTTTGAATGTCATTGTCGTTCACGCTGGCTTAGTGCCAGGCTTACCCATGGAAAGACAAGATCCAAGACATATGGTGTCAATGAGAAATTTGACGATAAAAGATTATTTTTGGGAAGGAGGGATTCAGGCCACCAACAGTAACCAAGAAGGGGAACCCTGGGGATCATTGTGGCCAGGACCAGAACATGTTTACTTTGGTCATGATGCACGTCGATTACTACAGTTGTATTCATATGCTACAGGCCTTGACACAGGTTGTGTTTATGGTAAGGAGCTCACGGGGGTTTTTATAGCTGGCCCAAGGAAGGGAACTTTTGTTTCTGTTACTGCACAGCACATGTATGAAAAACCAAAAGGCTGATGGCAGTTAATTTAGGTAAATAAACTGTGATTAAAAAACAATTACTATTTGCTCTATGTTATTATAACTTATAAGATAGATGGAAACAGTTGTTGGATGTTAGTGATTGTTTGCTTTTTCGAACTAATCATTCTGTAATTATACATTTTGAATTTGCTGCTATTTCATCAGTTGCTTAAGAAAAACGTCCACAAATTATTATACTGTAGTTTTTTCATTGAAAGATAATTTTTTTTTTAAATATTTGCAAGCTGGTGATCTTGCTTGAAGCAAATATGGTATAAAACTGGTGTTTATGAAAAAAAAAAGAATGTTAATAATATTATCAATAGTTGAAGTGGAGTGGTGATGACACTCTGTCAAATATATGGAAGAAACATGATTCATAACTGTTTAAAAGTAAAAGTTTTGAAAATCTAAATGAGGTTTAATGTGATTAATATGAAATATAAAAAGTATATGTCAGGTGACTTAGATTAAAGAGGAGAGAAAAAAAAACAGACTGGCACTGTGGCACTGATTCCATAAATTCATAGAGGAGAGTGTAATTAGTGCTTTGTTTTAGTCAGTGCTACAGATATGTTAAGATTAAGCTATGATAATAAAGAATATAACTACCTTTAACTAATCTCTTTAATGTTTTTGTTAATTATAATGTTACACCCAGATAATTAACTTTTCAAAAATGGTGTTCTGTTTTGATTGCTATAAGAACTAAATTTATGCAATTCAGATTTATTTGCTGCAGTACAAACTATACAAAGTTGTCACTAGAACTAAGCCTTACATATGGACATAAAGCAGACCAAATATCAAAACATTGTTGAAGTTTATAGTTTAAGGTGTGTATGATCTTACTGATTTCCTTATAGTGGCATATGTTCTCTTAGTAGAGTGTTTATAGGCTAGAAGTGTCTTTGAGTTTTCATTGAAGTTTGGTAGTAGACTAACAAAGAGCTAAAGAATTTGTTTTCACTTGATATATCATTCACATTAGTGAAAATATTTCAAAATAAGCATAATCTGATGATTCTGCTTTTCATGCACCAATAGTATGAATAATTGGGTACCAGTTTTAGTTAAATACTTTTTCATTTCATATTCCTGTAGATAAACAGTTTTAGAGAGTAACTGATATATATTCATTGTTATACATGGGCTGAGTGAAACTAATATCTAAGTGGAAAATTGTATAACTATTTAAATTTGTCTTTCATCACCCTCTTTTGTGTTATTTCAAATATATGAGATCCTAATTATAATTTGCAATTTTATATAACTTGATACTATTTCCTATCATAGTAATGCTGATACACCTGCTGAAAAAGGCTATTAAGATGATTTTTGTGTTTAAGAAAGTTGTAAAGTAAAACTTGAACTTCTAAACTTTTTGTTATTGAAACTAATATATGACCAAAATATTGATAATTATTCAAATCAAAGAAAAAACTTTGGATAACTTGAATTATGCATGAGAAGTTTAGTAGTGCAGTGCTCCAGATAAGAGGTGTACCGTTATAATTCCCAACCAAATATCAGCCACTTACAGCTTTAAAAAATACTGCAAAGTTGAAAAAATGAATATGGCTCCTGTCACTTTAATGGTAGTGCAGTAATTAATGGGAGCATTCTTATAGAGGTACACCACCGATTTTCTGGCACTCCTTGTTCCAGAGCCTTGCCAGATTATCCCTTTTGCTGGACCAACAGAGGTCATGTAATAATAATTTAATAATACGCTTCTGACCCACCAATTATACCCCTCCTGTGTATCTAAAGCACCATGGACTGCTAGAAACTTCTTCTTCTTAGTTCCTGTCGTTCCTAGTGGAACATAGGGCTACAACAACACTTCGCCGACGGAAGTGTTTTTGTTGCACTTTCTGTAGCAAATTGTTATCGGGGTGGAGTTGCTAGCCCCATGCCCACTAGAAACTTAAATAAAACAAATATTAAATGTGAATTAAATTATTAATGAAATACCATGACTATCACTTGGACCTTAGAAGCCACAGCTAAGATTAAATGTAATCAAAATAAGCTAAGAATTGCACAAAACCGAGGGATCACCACCACCAACTGCAGATGTAAACAATTAACTCTTTTGGGATGGAGGCACATGATGCCATCTTTAAATTCTCTCTGTTGACGTAAGTAAAAAATTTAATTAAACAATTTTCTTTAAATATTTTTCAGAAAAATTATTATTTTCAAGTAAGTTATATTTTGAATTTTCATACACTATTATCAACATTCTGTGTTGTAAAAAAATTGAAGAATAATTTGAAAATAATATTTGTATCTTGTTAAACTACATATTCTTGGCAACATTCATGAAAAAATTCAAGCAATTTAATCCACTAGTTTCATATTTATAAGAAAATTTTCACAAGAGTGACGTACCCACTTAAAATGTAAGTAGCCCGTCCTGAAAGAGTGAGCATCACACGCAATGCCATCTGTGGCCACCCAGTGAACTAGTCTGGCAGTCATGGGAATTTAAAGTGTGCTCTCGTAATTTTGTCTGGATTAAAGGATGTGCCGGACCATCAGTTGCCGGAAAATCAGTGGTGTACTGTTGATTTCCATAGTTCTGCACAGTTCACACAGTAGAACTGCAAAATTAAGTGCTCTCTGACAGAAATTTCTATTGGTGCACTTGTGAATGATCCAATTTTGTGTAAAAAAAAGTAAATAAAAAGTTGTAATGTCAATATTTGTGTTTATTTTGACTACATCTGGTGGTTTAATTTGTTAAATTAATCCTGTGCCAAATTTCACCTTTAGAAATAGTAAAATAATTCATATTTAGTTAAATTACTTTTTATCACAAAATGTTACTGCTGCACTTTGCAAAACATTTAAAATTATTTCTGCTGACAGAATTCTGGGAGTGATAACTCCTTACAGAAAAAAATTATCTGGAGCACTAATGGTGGAGACTTCAGTTAGAAGCCAAAGTTACAAACTAATGTAATGCAAATGTAAAATTCATAATTTGTATATAAAGTTGCATTTTTTCTTTAGAATGAATATATATATATATACACACACACACACACTCTCTGGCCAAAATATTAGAAACCTATAGAAAGATCATTCTTAACTTCATATTTATACAAGGTAGGTATTTACATGTTAGATAGTTAAAGAAATAAAATCATCAGTACAACTGATACATTGTATGAGCATCGGTCGGAACTATAAGGGAAAAACAAAAGATTTATGAAGCTTTGAATGTGATGTGATTGTTGGGACTTGATTGGTGGGTGTCTCGGTTATGATAACGGTAGAGTGACTCAAAAATCAAAGTTAATTGTGTTTCACGTCTACGCTTCATAGCTTAATTCAAAAACTTCATCAAATAAGGAAAACTATGATATAAAACGAAAGCTATCAAAAAGGAATAGGAGGAAAATATCTAAGATTATTTAGGCTAATAAATGTTCAGTATATGAATTCATGGATAATTTTGATAATGGTTCAACAACATCCACTTTCACCAGAACACTGTTTTTGGAGCTGCTTGAGATGAACTTTTCTAAGAATGCTTTTTTATGTCTTTGTTAGATGAATTATGCTTCACTTTGTTCTGCAATGATGGTAGGTTTAGTGTGGTGACAATCCAATGAAGTCATGGACCCATCCTGTAAGAGATTCTGGAGGTGAGTTAATGTTGTGGGGTTAATTTACATGGCTTTATTCTTTTTGAATGGTTCATAATTTTGCTTGTGAATATTTGACCATCTTAGCTGAAAAGATGCACACCACAATCCAAATGAAGATGGTTATTTCTGGGACAATAATACTACCAGACATAGAGCTCAAATCATTTCTGATTGGCTCCTTGAGCATGATGCAATCTTCCAACATAAAAGCTGGCTGCAAAGTTCCCTGGTCCCAATCCCACTAAGAATCTATAGTACGATCTATCATTATGATCAACTGTACCTGAATTGGAGATGATATTAACTAAGGAATAAAGTTGGACAATTAGAGGAATTTGCTAATTGATAAATCATCAGGCTTATCAATCAGTTACGTTCAACTAATTGATTATTCTCACTTGGGATGAAAAAATTTCAATACTTGTGATGGGCAGAGCACAGATAGTCCATTGTTTAGCTTTGCACTTAACAACAAACATAATGGAAATACTTTGGTAACTTGGATAATTGGAATAATCTGAAACATAAATTTCTATTCTCTCTAAAGTACCATGTCTGGGCAGAATGTTACCAATCGTGACCTTCCACAGATTCTTATCCTTTGTTTTTCTCAACACTTCTGCTTCACTCACATTCATCCCTGTGGTGAGACTACTGATTTTAGTCACTCTTGATGTACTTCTACTTTATTTCCCTCCAGTTACTTTTAAATCTTGTTGCTTGTCTTTTCTCATTACGTGTCACAGGAACTGGAGTTGTCTTCTTCTAATTGTTGTTGTCATATCCCTGTGTGTTTCTGCTCTTTTCATTACCTCCTCACTCATCACATGATATGTACATGATGCCCTCAACATTTTTCTGTAAAACCTCATCTCAATTGCTTGTAGTCTCCTTTCCAGAGTTGTCCAATTAGGATATAATTTTCATGACATTAATGATCTAATCGTAATTTCTATTAATTGATTATTTTGTAATACTAATTGCTGCTTATAGGTAAACAATTAATCACCCAGCTCTGCTAAGGAATGGTCAAAGATGGAAGTAAATGCTTTCCAGGTATTAGTGGAATGAGTTCCCTGTTATGAATAAACTGTAATCAAGGCAGATGATAACTCAACAAGTTATTATGTCAGGTTTTTTTTAATATTTTGGTCATGGAGCATACATGTGTAGTCTACATACGCACATACAGGATTATTAGTATTCAGTCAAGGTTTAAATGTTTAATTTAAGTGTTTGGTTTGAATGTTTAGAGAGATTAGTTTAAACTTGATAGTCCTTGAGGCTTTTTTTTATTGTTTGGTTGATACTTGTGTTTAGAAGAGGAAATTATGCTGATAAATTTGTAATATTGTTCAAAAAATACAAAATATACATATATATAAAACTTCCCAAAAGTTTAACTATATGATACTGCCTACTTTAAGCAATTTAAAACAAATATGTTGTTAAAATATGAAAAAAATCAAATTATGATATTTTTTGTGATGTATTGAAGAAGATACTGGCTGTGAAATTTGAATGTATCTTTGTATGTTATGAACAAAAAAACATAAAATCAATAATTGTCTGTTTTATATTCGATTGATGGAGTAATTTAGGCTTAGGTTATCTACCTTATTTTCTTTTGACCATTAAATGTTTATGTAAATATTTATATTTATTACCAAACAAAACTTTAGATAAGTAGAATGAGAAATATAACTGGTGAATTATATATAAAGTTTGTTTTATTTACTCAGAGAAGAAAGTTATATTTTTTCTGCTTATGTTTAGTAGGATTTATCAGGTATTGAAATAAATCTGTTTGATTGTAAAGTGGACTTCAAGTATCTAAATTTTTTCACTTTATCAGTATTTATGTATGTGGGTCAGATTTTTATACACCAAGTATCTGTGACTTATTGGCAATAAATTTCAACAATAAATGGACAGCACACAATCCATTTGTATTAAAATAAAATTTGCAAAAAAAGTCAGATGTACGTACAAAAGATTTTAAACTATTGGTTATCCCAGTTGTATCCAGAGCTTTAAATAATTGTATCTGTTTCATCTAAGTCTACACAAGCAGGTTCAATTACTGTAGAACACCCTTCGACAAGACAAATTATTCTCCTCTATCTCTGTTATTACAATACAAGCTGTGCAACTCACTTTAGAAATCATCCATATGGCAAATCCACACGCACTCTAACTTCACTTTCACTAATTGACTTTTATTAACTTCTTAACTTGGGCGCCTATATATATATATAAAATGTTATGATGTAACAATACTAAAATGAAACAACGAGAAAAACTTAGAAGGTTCGGGTAACGTGACATCAATTCACAATGATTGAACCACACAACAAATGAATCATAACAATTATGTAAGCAAATCTGCAATTAATTATCACTTCTAAAAATACTAAATTTAACACTTGTACTGTATAACTATCTCTATGATACTCTCATCAAATTTAAATTAAAGAATCATGTATGTCTAATAAGACCCTCTTCAAGAAAAATATTTACAATATTTCTCTACACTATATACAAAGACTGTTTTCAGCTTCTATACAAAGTCTCATTATATAGTCTGCACCAACATTTGCAGCTCCCTTGTTGGTCTCTTATCTGTTAGCGCTTCACCTTAACTCGATCCTTGGTCGTGGTTTCAATCTGGTGTTGCACAAGGTCTGTCTGTGAAGACATCAACATATTGGCACAGTAGATCTTGTAGCTCTTTCCTCTGCTTGCCAGTCAGTTTTGCCCAATGGTCTTAGGTCTTCATATTCTATGACAAAGTCACCATCTACTGGTTCTGCATCTATGACAGCCACACCTGCAACATCCTTCTTTGTCTCAACAGCTGCAGCTATTGGTGTGGTAAATCCTGGTCTTCCAGTCCACTTCCACTTTATAGTTCATTCTGTTGACCACTTCCGTTACTTCAAAAGGTCCTTTACATTGCAGGGTAAGCTTGCTGTTTTCTTTTAGTAGCAGAACCAAGACCTTCTGTCTGACCTAGAAATGTCAGTTCTTGACCTTCTTGTCATAAAAGTGCTTCTGTTTGCCTGAAGCTGCATACAAACTTTCTCGAGCGAGTTGACAGGTCTCCTCCAGTCAGTTTGGAGGTCAAACACATACTGTTATGTGTTCCTCACTTCTGACTTTTCTTCTTCTGTTCACTGTTCTTTCAATATCTGCATCTTGTAATATTCTTCCATATGGTAACTTAAAGGGTGAAAATCCCGTACTTGCTTGTGGGACTTCTCGGTAAGTAAATAATACTGCCTGCAATTACCAAATGTGATCTCTACTGGCATATCTTCTTCAACATGCTCTTTAAGACTCAATTGACTCTCTCTCACAAAGTCAATTACATTTGAAATTATATGGGGTGTTAAAGAGCTGCTTAGTACTGATGAGTTTGCACACCTTTTGCATCTGTTCTGAGGTAAACTGGGTCCCTTTGGAAAGCCCACTTTGCAGAACACTCCCAGGGGAGGACTTGTGCTACTCTTTCCATCTCTATCTTTGGCAGTGCTATGACTTCTGGGTAGTATGTCGCATAGTATACTACTGTCAGCACATACCTTTTGTCCTTTTCAGGACAGACTACTCAGTTCTGACTTTGGGTGAACCTTTCATACCTTTCCAGGAAAGTATCCATACCATTTTTCTGTTCATTCAATTTGAGCAGCTTGGGTCTGCTGGCACTGACCCCATTGTCATTTCTAGGGTCCTTCATCTTTCTGTTGGGTGAACTTGGTGCTGAGACAGACTGTCAAGTCATCTTTGTCCCAGTTCTGAGTTTGGGTGAATCTTTCATACCTCTCCAGGAAAACATCCATGTTGTTTTTCTGTTCATCATATTTGAACAGCTGACCCTAACCCAATTGTCATTCTTGGGTCCTTCATCTTTCTGTTGGGTGAACTTGGCAATCTCAGTTTGTGCTCTTATTCTCTCTACTTCCAGTCTCTCCTCTCTCTCTTTTTCTTCTTTCTCAATTTTTCTTTTATTCTCTTTCTCTCTTTTTCTTCTTTCTCAATTTTTCTTTTATTCTCTTTCTCTCTTTTTCTTCTTTCTCAATTTTCTTTTATTCTCTTTCTCTCTATTTCCAGTCTCTCCTTTCCTTCTTTTTGGCCTTGTATTTCATGATCCTGTTCTTCTTTGTCTTTCTTCTCTCTTTAGGTTTTATTGTTACTTAACAAACTCTTGTAGATCACCATCTTTGAGCTCAAGTCCTTCACCCCTTTCTATCCACTTATCAAAGTCAGTCAACATGGTAGTATAGTGTGGTAATCTACAACATTTTTACCAACACTACATGTGTTCTTTTGCCGCCACTTACCACTGTATAATCCTGGTTTGCTTGCCAATGTCATCAGGTTTATACAACCTTCCTATCCCAACTTCAAAAAAAGAGGTTGGTAATTCCACTTAAGACGCTTTGGATTAGGATCAAGCAATTCTGAACATAAGGTATAATGCAGTTGAGGACTACTACCAACTCATTTCCTACCAGCAAAAATACATGGGTACAAGAGACGGATTACATGAGATTTCATTTCCTGATCTCAACAAAATTTTTCTTAAATGTAGGCTTATTAGCATAAATTACAGGAAGCTCCTAATAACACTTGTAATCATTACGTAATGTCACAACAAAGGGTTGACATTTCGTGAGATAAAGAACTTCTCCCATGACTCTATCGTAAATGCCTGGAAAGTCTTCTATCAGACTTCCTACTAAGTCAGGAGATAACTGTGCTAAAGCTAGTCTATTTTGTAAAATGAGTCGTCATTTTTTCTATGCCGAATGGATTGGAAGAGAGATACAATATTGATGTATATGATAGTTGTAGTATAAAGAAACTTGGTATTAACATAACTAGCAAGATCAGTGTTCAAGGTGTACTTGAAAGATCACTTAACCCTATAATTATCATATCCATTTTGTTTTGCCCTAAGGGCAAAACCGCACTTATGAACTGAAAATAATATAGATAATTTATCTAAATTTTTATTTTAAGTAGTAGCATAATATTTAGTTATTTGTACTAAATTGTTTTATTTAATTATGTTTAAAGAGAAATTTAACAAACAAAATCCAAAATGTGTTTTAGACTGTAAATAAGTGCCCTCTAAGGTTAACATTTTTTTTGAAGCACTTTAGCACTTGTCTTGCCTTTTTCTAGTATTTTTTTCTTTATAAAACAGCATCTGGTTGTGTTCTACTTCAGTGGTAAAATTTTTAACCAATCCTAGTCCTAAGGTGTCAATTTTGGTACCACCTTATTCAATGCACTGTATTTCACGTTGTGTATTCTATTTTAAAATAGGAAAGTGGGTGGTACTTATTTAGTTATAAAGACTGACATTTCATTTTGAGTCTTTAGTTTAGGGCCACAATCCTTTGTTAAAAACCATACAAATCTTGCCTTTGAAAAGAACTGCATGGCAAATTCATGACTTTTATTATTTTTTTATATCTATAGAATAGAAAACCATGCTATACCATTCATCTATTTATGTTAATTATTATCTTGCAAGTGTTTACAAATGGATTAGGCTTAATGCTTTGAACTGAAAGAGGTTGTGATTTTTACTTTCTTTTGCATTTAAATTAGCAGGTCTAAGTAAAATAATTTAAACTATTTTTATAATTACTTTATAATAAAAATATAATTCGCTATATAGAAGATAAGCTTGTGAAATTTGTACATACTACTACTACTACTCGTACTTGACTTGCGATGGTGTTTAGACTGAGATCCAACTAAGGTGTATCAAGTGAGCCACCTCCTTCACCTTACTACTTTCTCAAAATTGTCACTTTGTTTGACCTAAAACTTAATAGCAAAAGTGAATTACATAAAATGTAATTAAATTAAAAATAAAGTAAAACACATATATAATAAAATTATTTAAAACTAGATCTGAATCATTAAAATTTGTATAAACAATTAAAATTAATCTAATACTATTTATCATATTTATAACAAAATTACTTATCCAGCTTGTTATGGAATATGGCAATTTAAAGTCATGAATAACTTTAAAAATTAATTCATTTAACCAAATTTTATCAAACTCTTTTTCCACGTCCAATAAGACAGCTCCAGTTGGATTTTTATGGTTAAATCCATCAACTATACATTCAGTAAGTCTTACAAACTGTTCTAATATCAATTGATTTTTTTCTAGAACAAGTTTGATACTTGTTTAGGCTTCCATTTTCTTCTAAACAGTGTATTAATCTATTATTAATTATTCTTTCAAAAAGTTTAAATAAACAGCTTGTCTATAATTACTTGGATCACTTTTAATCCTATTTGGTTTTGGAATCATGGTGATGATACTTCTTTTCCATTTTATAGGAATATAACCAGATTTCAGTGAAAGATTAAAAATGTTTATTAATTTATTAACAACTACTTCATTACAGTTTTTAACCATGATATATTGGATATCATATCGACCAGGAGTTGTGTTTTTATTAATAGTTTTTAAAGTTTTAAAAAATGCATTCATGTCAATATTTTCACAGTTAAAAGTTTAATGGGATACAATTTTTTTATCATTATTCAGAACTGCATTAATATTAATGGAAAAATGTCCTTTTAATCTTGTTTTATTGTCAATTCGATCCTTATCATTAGCTGTTTTATATGTATAATCTTTCAAACCTTCTATTGGTATATTATTAAAATTGTACCAATTTGCTTTTTTAAAATTGAATTTAGATTTTTATTTTTTCTTTGATCATACTCTTTGTCATATAATTTTATATATATTACTAGCAGCATTACCTGGCATTGCCCAGGTTTTTGAAAAAAAAAATACTTTTTGTGCATTTATAGAAAAAAAAAAACAACCTTAAGTTTGATTTTTGAAAATAAACTAGAAAATTTAAACTGTTTTAAATCAGGGCTTCCTTATGAATGGTGCTTATTGTTTTTCCTTCACTGGCAAGGATAAATAGGCCCTTATTGTTCTGAGTATCTAACATAGAGCTGTCCATTAGGGTGGAGTAAATTTTTCACGTAAAATTTTTTTCTGATAGTGCGGAAAATTTTTCGGATAGGACACATAGTAATCCTGAAAAGTTTCATTGATATCTGGGATTATCTTGTGGTGCTCCAAGAAGCTTGAAGTATGTGATAAACATAATTTACATCTTACAGCATCTTTCATGCAGCTCTTTGCTTCTTTCAACAATTATCCATTGAAGCAACCCAGAACTTGCCATGAGGAGGTGGCTGTATATCGAGTTCCACCTGTGCCCACCCATTCCACTCAACCTTGTGAGCACTTTAGGTCCTGTTTACTGTGAGATATGATATTTGTTTTTAGATTCAAATGAGGGCATCAGCTATCAGGATTTCAGCCTTGCATGTATGCATCCATTTCTTGAGTCTTGTCCATAAACAGCACTTGATGCTTCAGTCATAAGTTTAATACATCTTTCAACAGCTTGGGTATGATATGGAAACCTTGCAGTTTTAAGCATTGGCACGTCCTTTGATTTTACCATAAGTCCCAATTCATTGTATGAAAGTTTCATTGTTAAAAGTGGCTCTGTCAAATTGCAATGTTGCCATTCAATTAATCTTACTGCATCAAACCTAAGTGGTGGTATTTGATATTGTCTAAATTCTGGAGGCTTTTGTTTTCTTGATCTCATGATTCTTCTTAGTCCTAACTCCCTTATATGTTGTTGGTCATCTGTAATCATAGCTAAGAGAATGTTTTCCGGGTGACCAAAAAAGGCATTCCTCTGTATAACTGGATCCACTATTCTATGTTTGAATTCTTCACTGAGATAATGCGAGTAGCTGAACTTCGACTTTTTGGAACACAGCTACAGGCAGATTCTCACAACCTTCCAAACTTTTGCCAATAGGACCTGAATAGCTGTAAGGTCCTTTAGTGTGTCCATCAAGATGTCGCAATACTAGCTCACTAGCATGGAGTTGACATACTAGCCATTGCAATGGTTTCCTAAAATGTTCTTCTAGTAGTTGGATGACTCCACCCCTTGGTCCGGTATTCACTGCAGGCCCATCCAATAGCTACTATTTCTTCAGTATTTATGTTGTTTTCCTCTAAATATTATATGATACTTGTTTTGATACATTCACCAGTGCCAGACACGTGTTGTGTGTGTCTTAAATACTTTGATCCAGGTTCCTCAAGTATTGCCAAATTTTAATCTGTAATTGTTGTTTTGTAATATTTATAACCTTTTTTTTTTCTTGCTTCAGAGTTTTGTATTTTTGGTAATCAAAGAATAGGCTTTGAGGACATTTTGTAATTTAGCTCTATTTTTAAATCATTCCCATTGTACATTAGTCCTGTCTACAATTTTCAAACTATTCTGTTTTGTAATTAGTCCTACATCTTCCATAATTGCACTAGCAATTGTAGAAGCTGCTCTGTCAAACACTCCTGTCCTGTTGCAAGCTCCTGCAAATGCTGTTAATGGCAGCCTCATTTGAGATGTGTTTTTTCACCTTTTGATGATGAAGGCCTTTGTTCATTACCATTTTCCACAGCTCTCTGCAAATAGTACATGGGTAAAACATAGTCATTATTGGTATCAGATTCAGGGAGTTTCATTTCACATGGTTCATCATCATCCCATTTTGTCTCAGTTGTATTGTCTGTGTTTTGTTCAAAGGGAAGTAATGCTCTGTATTTTCTTTTTTCCATTTCTTGGAGTTTTTAGTAGTAGAGGTGTTGACTGAGCCTATAATAATGTTTCTGTCACTTCTTTGATGTAAGAGAAAAGTCTATTTTTTCTTTGGTACTTTGCAATCCTTAGCACAATCACACAAAGAAAAATCTGAACACTTAAAGGAAAATGTTGAAAACATCTTTTGCTGCTTGTTCTTGGAATTCTTTGGCTTTGTAAGTGTCACTTTGACTGCTTTTCATTGGTTTCATAATTGTTCTGTATTTATTGTGATAGCTTCTAATCTTTTGTAAAACCCGATCATGACTCACAACAGAAAATTGAATTACATAAAATATATATACAAAAGTTACAACTGAAGATACATATACACAAGAAGAGCATCAATGATCATAAACACAAAGTACTTATAAGAAAAATTGTCAAACTTATAAGGAGAATAAATGAATAAACAAGCTTTATAAATAAATGAATAAACAAGCTTTATAAATAAATGAATATGCTTTACACAATTTATTACAACCCATGAGTATAGTGCAGAAGAAAACAATAAAAATCTAACTGCTAAATTATGCACGAAGAAGTATACATACAATTTTAGTCAACTGATGTAGAAAGAGCATAGACATCTCTCTTATCAGTACACAGCAGTCATTAAGCCACAGCATAAAAACTTTGACCCTTCCCTTTTTAAATTACTTGTAAACATGTTTGGGAAGTAGGCCCTGTTTTTCCTACGAGTGCTAAGTGAAAGCAACTTATCAAACAGAGTTGGAGATGTATAAAAGTTGTCAGTAAAAGGACTGTGTCCTCTTTCAAGGTACTTTTCCATCAGAGTCATTACAACTGTGTTAGCTAAGCCCTTGAAAGGTACAGATCCCCTTTTACCAGAGTATACTCTAAAATTTAAACAATATCCAGTTACAGCTTCTGCCAGAACTCACAGTTTGATGCCGCACTTGGTAGGCTTGTTAGGTAGATATTGTTTAAATGAAATTCTCCCCTTTGTTCCCAGCATTTTTTAATCAATAGATAGTTCCCTAGTAGGGTTATAGTGAGCTGAAAAAACTGTTAATAAATGATTGAGCACATGCCTGACTTTGAAGAGTTTATCATGCTTAGCATCATTTTTAGATTGAAATGCAGGAAGTGAGCGATAGTTAGAAATTTTTCTCTGGAAAATATTGAAGAAAACCAGGGTAAATGAATTAAAGGAGTGATATACTAGTAATCTGAAAAAGATGGTAAGTGATGTATATCTATACTTACACCAATAAAAACTGAAATTTCTTCAGGAGTAACACCACTATATTTCAGCATTCTTCTTTTCTTTCTGATAGCATTTTTTTTTGGTGTTCCTCCCTTTGCTGGTGTGCAAATCTGTTTGTTTCTTCAGCAATTTTGGTTACAATACTGAGAGTAAAATACAGTTGATAAAAATCAAGAGGAGTCTGACACCTGCTAGCTAGACAGGAAACATGCTCTTCTCGAATGAAGTCCCACAACAATTTAGGTTCCTCATCTTCAAGTACCTCCCATTTCCATTCTGCACTACAGGTCAGAGGCTTTTGCTGTGTCTTCTTACCTCTGGCCATTTTGGAAGTGGATGTGGTGCTGGTTGTGGGAGGACCAGTAGCAGTATCTTCAAATTGTTGTGGGTCATGAGGAGAGTCTTCTTCCCATGACTGTATGTCAGGGTCCTCAAAGAAAAGAGAAACCATCAATGAGGGTTTTTCACAATTCATTGTTGATGTTGTGGCTTCCTCCTCTGACTCAGAGGAAAGAGAATCTTCTTCCAAGATGAAAGAAAAAAAAAATGAGCAATACTTCATCTACAATGAGATCCCACTTCTTCTTCAGGAATTGAATATATCTTTTGAGGCCATCTAACAAACTTTTATTATGTTATTAATATTTGGTTGATATAACTGAAAACATGATATACACATACATTTGAACTACTGAACCTAGACTTAAAAGTTTTAAGAATACATTTAACCAATTCAATTAACAATTACAGTTTTACTGTTTGCCACAATGAAAAGTTTTTACAAACCCTCTATTATGTATAGTCTTTTAGAACAGCAAAAAAACATGGTATACACATACTATCTAAAATTTTAATTTTTATTTAGTAATATCTAAACCATAAATATCCATAATGCTTGGATGCTTACACTGTGTAGCAAAAACAAGTATGTCATTACAAAATATGGACCAAGTTTTAGAAATTGAAATGATCTTATCTTACAAAACTTGGCAAACTTTGTAAAATTCAAAACTGTATAAAATGATATTCTTTATGTAGAGTAAAATATTTCATTAGTTATTGATATCCTGGAGACTTGATAAACACGATAAATTAATATTTTGTGTAAATTCCAGGTAGAACTGATACATATAAACAGTTTTTTGGTTTACACATAAAATTGTAAGTGCTTCTTACATTATATCATACTTTATTGTAAACTATCATTCTGTTACGTCTCCGTTTGTTAATTGATTTCCCGTAAAT